CAGCAAGCTCTAGGGAGAAAATGGTTAGCAACAGAAAGCAAACTTTACTATACTGATCAGAACTGAGCAACAGAAACTAGTTATGAGCATTTCAGGTCATCCATCCATTTATGCATCCTGCTAACAGAGGGTTGCGGCCAGCACTCGGTCGTAGAGCATATTTAAGTTGATGTTTAACTATTTCGTGATTTGATTCATTTTCATGGATTTTATTATAGGTTCTGGCTTCTTTTAGTTACACAATTATACAGTCATACAATACTGATTTTTAACAGTAATGCAGTAAGTGAATGTTAATGATAGCTCAACCCATTCATACCCATTAAAACACTTGTGCTGAAAATTGGCTTTCACTGTTTACATGTCTACAGTCCACCAGACACTGCTTTTGCAACTGTCGCTTCATATTTCTGCTTATTAGATATAGGCTTCTTTACAAATAAGGACTGTAAAACCAAACAAAACATGTGCAAAGTTACAGATTAACCAACCTGACAGTGGAATAAACATTTCGTTAATTAGAAAATTAGAGAGGAAAATTCATAAACTTTGCTTTGTAGCGATAATTAAATATTATGGACTGTTATAATGTTGCGTTTTTGGCACACATTTCCATACACAAGTACATTGACTAGAGCATTACTGCAGGATTTTCACTTGTAATGGAGTATTTTGTCACGACCGGGCGGCCAGACACAGGTAAGTGGACTCAAATGCAGACCCCAAACGGAGGCTCGGAGGTACAGTGCAAACGAACAATTTATTTGGCACTCAAAAATGGCAGACCACGGAGGAGGTAAAAGAAACAAAAATGTTAATCGTGAACTAAGGGCGAGAGGGAAAACATAAACCTCTGAACATTGGCTACCTACTAACATAAAATTTCTGATTATGGTTAAGAATCTATAGCTACAAACACACTGTGATTAGCAAGGGCTAGCAGATAAGCTTTTACCAGGAATGCTGAGAAAGTAAACAAGTCTTAGCTAGACCATCTCCAAAATAATTGTTTAACCAAATAAACAAGAATCACACTGCGTGTGCAGCAGCA